CTCATATTTGTTAGCTGATTCCATCCTTCCTGGTAACCCATTATAGTTGTTAATTATCCTCTGTGAAAAGAAATGCTTCCTGATGTCAATCCTCAAACTGCCTTTTGAAACCCAGAACCTGTGCTTCCCTGTTTTACTGCCTTGGGATATTAATGTGTTGTTCTGGGTTTACTGTGTTAGTACAATTTAGAATCTTGTATACTTCTACAATGTCTCCTCCGAGACATCTTTTCAAGGCTGAATAGCCCTAGCTCATCTTACTGATGCTCATAACTCATTCTTCTGATCATTCTCATTTATCTCTTCTGCACGCCTTCTTTCTCCAAGATCTCTGATTCCACAGCTCCCTCAACTTGTTCATCTGCTGCAAATTTAACTTCCTTGCACTGAGTCCCTATATCTAGGTCACCATGCCATGACTCGCTCTGCCTTCCCCACCTCCGCAACATCGCCCGGCTCCACCACTGCCTCACCCATCAGGCCGCTGACACCCTCATCCACACATTCATCACAGGCTTGACTATCCTAACTCCCTTCCCAACTCTTCCCTCCACAAGCTGAAGATCATTCAGAACTCCTGCACCAGGCTCCGGGACCCTATTAACCTCCTCCTCCTCCTGTGGCCCCCCCCACACCCCAGAGGATGGAGTTAAAAATTCTCGTCCTTGCCTTCAAAGCCCCCCACAGCCTTGCTCCTCCCTACCTTTATGACCTTGTAACTCGATATAGACCTGCTGCACGTCCCCCACCCAGCCGCTCCACAATCGGCTGACGGGCCTTCAACTTCTCTGCCCCATCCTTTGGAACTCCATGCCACAATCCCCATCTCCTTCAAGGCCCATCTCAAGACCTTTTGATGCATTCCACCAACACATGGAAATCCCAGAAATAGATTGTTGGAATGCGCACTCTCTCCCTGACGCATCCTGCTTATCTAATTCCAGAAACTATTAGGTGCAGGTTGGCAAAAGCCAAGGCTTGAGGACGCCAGAGTGTGCATTGGGGTACTCCTAATAATAATAATAATAATCCTTGCATTTGATATAGCGCTTTTCACATCGGGAGGACGTCCCAAAGCACTTCACAGAACACACTGTAAAGTGAATTGACTGTATATTTGTGGGCGAACGCGGCAGCCAATTGCGCACAGCAATGTCCCACAAACAGTCGTAGATTGAAAATGACCAATTTATTATTGTTTTGGGTTTTGGAGAGATTATTATTAGGCTCTGTGTGGAGTAAGGAAACTTGACCAAGGTTTCGCCCTCTGCCTGGAATTGAACTCAGGTCTCTCGCTTGCAAAGCGAGTGCTCTAACCACTGAGCTACAGGACTCCTGGTGCCAAACCAGCTAAAACCACAAAGCTTGCCATTGATATCGCTCTGGCAAGCTTTCCCACTGCTTGTCCAGCTTGGACCACCCTACCCATTAAGGCTTTGGCTTGCAGGGTTAAAAGGAGCTGAGTGGGATGAACTCCCTGCCCCCAGTGACTTGTCTGCCTTTCCATGTCCTCCCAATGAGCTGTCATCAGCAGTGCCCTGGAATACTGCGGTTCAGGAATTGGACTACCGAGGACGTCACACAGCGCTGACTCGATTCAGACATTCCAATGCCAGGCACCTCCGAGCCAGTTCAGCTCCAAAGATACCTGCTTACCTCTCCCCACCAGTGTACATTATTATTTGTTACAAAAAAGCATTGCAGAGCACAAAGAACCGTGTTCGAGTTTCTGCTGACTCTTGCTCCCTCTAGTGGTACTTAGGTCTGATCTTATAATTGTACTAAAAACTAAATACATTACCAATGTGACAAAAAGGCATATTGAAAAATATTAGGTTGAATTACTGTAAATTAAATGTTTGCACAAGTCTATATAACTCATATTAAAGCTTCAAATTGTTTTCTTTAATACAGTATTGTCGGTGGTCATATTACCCTTTAAAAGTGCCTGAAGGTCGACCAAAGCTGTGAACCCCATTAATACAGCAACTCAAACATCAGAAGTAGCTCTACTACTGTAAATGTTAACACTAACCCACTAAAAATATATAACCAAAACATTTGGCAAATGTATCTGTGCTGTTTTGGCACTTTTCTATTCTTGCTTCCTATTTTGATCCTTGATATTTTTACAGCTATCTTCTCCCTACTTTAACTTGTTTTTCAACCTTTCTAGCTTCAAAAACTTTTGACCAACTTATCTTCTTGTATTGTTTGTCTACTGATGGGAACAACTTGAGACATTTTAAATGGTTCATTACCTGGCTGACATCCAAATAAAAGGTAAAAGATTGACTGGACCATGCCCATGATGTAGGTCTATTAATCTTCAATCTTTGACCCAAAGTTAAGGCTAACAAAAACAACTTTCATTTATAAAGTGCCTTTCATGTCAGGGGATTGTGCCAAGGCGCTGAACAGCCAAGGGTTTGCACCCAAGCTGGGGGTTGGAATCAAAAAGGGAGGAGGGCAACGATGCAAGTGGGCAGAAGACCGAAGGTATAGTCAAAGAGGAAGATCTTGAGATGGGCCTTGAAGGAGGCAAGGGAGGGAGCGAGGCGGAGGGATTCCAGGATGGAGTTCTAGAGGATTGAGGTAGAAAGGCTGAAGGCCCGACCACCAATGGTGCCAGGAGCAGGTCAGTGCCTGCCGAGCAGAGGAAGCGGGCAGATTGGTACGGTCTTAGTAGACTTGGAATCCACAGACACCATTACACTTTGTCAGTCCCAGCAAATGTACTTTATACTCAGGGTAAATGTCCTGCTTCCCCATCTTTCTCCTTAAGACAGCATGGGCACAGTTCAACATGTAGCAGCAGGCTTCTTGTATCTTTTCCCACTGGCTACTCTTCACGTGCATGTCAGTAGGTTATTATTCACCCATATTACAAAATAATTATACAAGTTCACATTAACCACCGTGTGAACTGGCTATTTGTGTATATTGAAAAGGACAAACACGTACAGTTCTTACTGATAAAAATAATCTATTGTCAAAAAAATGAGAGATTTTTCATGCTTTCAGAAAAAAAACATGTTCAATAAAATCCGAGATTTGCCGGGAGAGAAATGCATAGATAGACAAGACGATCAAATAATTCTCAGGGAAGTAATAATTTCTAGAACATTGTAAAAGAGGTTAATACTACCACAAGCAAAGCTTCAGATAGAGAAGGTGGAACTATACTATGTGAACACTGAGTTAGTTTCATATCTAGCTTCAGGAACTCCTTGCAAACACTGTTGGCTCTCAACAGATTGCCTCTCAAAACAGTTGGCGTTTCACAAAACACAAGCCTAGTGATGTTAAAAAAAACATTAAGGAAGTGCTGGGAAAATTTAATATTTCTCTCCAACAATCCAAATTCACAATTAAGGTCTCCTACATCAGGTACATCACATTTTCTATCCAACTAAAGAAGAGTATGCTTCTATTGCATCAGTTTTCATCTACCACCTGCCAGTCTTGGTCAGTTGCTTCTGAGTTGGAGAGGTGTGGGATCCACACTGGGAATTTGAAATCACAATCTAGACCAAGGCTTCAAACAGTGCTGGAGGAGGGGATGTCCTTCAACTGACATCTGCCTACTCAGGTGGACATTAAAGATCCCATGGAATTACTTGAAAAGGGGAGTTTCTCCTGGTTCCTGGACAACAATCCCCAGTTCGTGGCTATTTGTGGGATACTGCTTTTCACAAATTGGCTGCGGGATTCACCTACAATATACAGTCACTACACTTCAGGGTAAATCTTGTGAAGCGCTTTGCGATTTCCTACTGACAAGAAAGGTGCTATATAAAATGATTATTTTTATTAATGCATGTGGGTCCAGGTATAATAAAATGAAGATATGGACAAAGCAATCTTAATTCACAAAATGTTGAGCCATGCAAATGTAATAGTATATGGAACATTGGTGATTAAGTCCCCCATGCTATATAAATGTAAATTGTATTGTATGGAGAATGAGAACTAATGTTTGAGATGATTTCAAGTTATGTATTATACGGTACACTTTGCAATATTGTTGCACTTTAATGAAGGTATGCATACGACGATAATTGTAGTCGGACACCCAAAGTTAATAGAATTTTTCCTGTTGTCTGCAAGCATACATTTTCTGTTGATAGGCTTAATGTGAAGCACTTGTTCTACATGTAAGCCTGGGAAAGGGGAGGCGATCATTTAAAAAAAAACGACTGTACAAAATGTTCCAGGAATTAATTATATTTTTGTTCTCTTAAGAATTTTTATTCTCTTAAGCTTTCACTTGACCATACAGGAACTCTCATCTAAAACATAAAAATCCATTATATCAAACAAGTAATTTTCCAATAAAGGAAACTAACCTTATACTGTGGTAATATAGTATTGTTCAAAACATACTTGTTCTCATCTAACCGCAGTTTAAAAACTTCTGCTGCTGAATCTTACATTTGCAGACTTATCTAAACCTGTGAGATCCATTTGCAGGCGTTCATAAGAATTGCATGCAAGGGTACTAGGGTGTGATTTACACACGCAAAGTAGGTTAATCGTGTCCTAAGTTACAATGCACTGCTTGCCAGACTCGTGTGGAATTAGATTTTGTTTCCAAAATGACTGGTATGAATATTCAGTCTATCGAGCCTATTTTATTAGTTCATTACAATTCAATGTTTTTGACCCCACTTCTCTGCCTTAACACATCCTTTTGATAGTTTTATTTTGTAACTATCTTTTTAATCAACTTAATTGATTCCATATCCACATTCTCACAATCCTTTAGGTCCAAAGTCCCACCATTCTCAGACAATTTCATCTTAAAATTTAAGATTGTACACAATTGTAGAAAATTCCTAAATTCAGTCTTTTAAAAGAGCTGCCTTCCAAACCAAGTTGAATTTAAATACAGCGGGTGGGTAGTTAGGTTTTCTTTATTCATGTTTACCAGATTAGCTGATAAGCCCATTCAACATAGTCTGTGAACTTACTCTATATTACATAGGAAAGTGACGTACCTTTTCCAGTTCCCGAGGAATTCGTAAACACGTGTACACCTTCTCCCGCCTTTCCGTGTACTTGGCCTCATTATGTTCCAGAAGGTATCCTCGAGTCAACTCGGCACTGATAAATCTCAACAAGGACAGATCTGCAAAGAAGATTTAAAATATTGGTATATGCACTTAAACTGAATGCAATATAAATTTCTTAGCCTTAAATTAATGAATAAAAAAATTCTTAACCCTCGTCTTTCTGAAACACCCCTCATGTTCCCAAAAGATAACTCCCACATACCCAGGAATATTCACAATAGTACTAGAAAAAGAGGCTATCCTGTTCTAAAATGTACATCTCAGTGGTTGTGTGGAACCTAGGCATCTTGTTCAACGCATAACTATCTTTCAAATCCTATGCTCTCACTCGCTTGGCTTTCGCATGCCTCTACAATAACTCACACCTCCACCACTACATTTCCTAAAACTTTCATCCATGCCTTCATTATGTTCAGCCTCGATTGTTAAAATGGATAATTGGCATAGCATCTGGATAAAGCGATGTAGGCGTACATTTTTCACTTTTGGGTTTACAACAACAAAATTACATTCGTATAGCGCCTTTCACATCGGGAGGACATCCCAAGGCGCTGGGGTGTCCTCCCGACGTGAAAATGTTCAAAATGTTAACATGGAATAAAAGATTGAAGACTAACAAATAACTGCTAGGAAGTATGAGAGAATATTACTGGAAAATGAAATGCTTCAAAGCGCTTTGAGACATCCTCCTGATATGAAAGGCGCTTTTATATAAATGTAAGTTCTATTGTAAATTATATTATACGCATGCGAGTGTCAAACACTCTATTGTGTCAGTTTCTCTTGGTTTGTGAGGTTGATGAGCAAGTGACATCACTTCCACTGTCTCAAAATAAAATTTGTCCACTGTGAGCAGAAGAAAAAGATTGGAAGCAAAGTCACCTGATCGTCAGATATGGCTGCTAGTCTCTACTACCAATTAGGTTGTGATGTTCGAATGAGAAAAACAAGTATCAGTTACACAGATTGTGACTTCAGATAGTATTTTCCCATCCTAAATCTGGGATTGCGGAACATCTTTAAATCCTTCATAGAATACAATCAAGATTTGGAATCCACTTTTGCCTGCCTCAATTCCTGGATATCATCTGTATTCATTCAAGTTATGTACACTTTAATTGCCTAGTTTAAACTTTAGTTGTTTGATATATTAGTATACTCAATATAGTTTCTTGTCTACAATTAATGGTTGTGAATGGTTATTGTGTAGTCCTGTAGCTTTCTGGTTAGAGCACCCGCCTCGCAAGTGACAAGACCTGGGTTCAATTCTTGGGCAGGGCAAAATGTTGGGCAAGTTTTCTTACTCCACACGCCTCTGTTTACCTAGCCATAAGTAGGTTGGTAGACGATTGCCGAATCGCTTTTCCGGGGATAATACCTTAAAAATAAATCAGAATTTAGTCACTCAATCCACTGCTGTTTGTGGGACGCTGCTGTGTGCAATTGACTGCTGTGTTTCGCCTAAAAAATATGCAGTCAATTCACTACAAAATATTCTGTGAAGCACTTTGAGATGTCTCGAAGACGTGATAAGGCACTATATCTGAATTCAGACTAATTTAGTCTTATGTTTCGAGTCCCTCTGCCCATTTTTGGGTGGCGTTTTTATATATTTTTTCAAAATATAAAAGTATTTAAAAAAATACCATTGGGACCAGAATGAGAATGTCTAAGAATAAGAGTAGACCATGACCTGTTGTGTGCAGTTCATTCTGTATAATCTTCAGCAACCTTCCAGTTTCTTTCAGAACCAATATTTGCAGAGTTTTAAGGCAGTCACATTAACACCAAGAACATTTCAACTCAGAATTCAAAAATGAAGGCAGGATTCCAAAACTACATTTAACAAAGAGTAATGTGAATTTAAACAAACATGTAGGTCATGGCTAAAAAAAACTACAATTCCTTCAAGGATATAATAGAATTGGTAAGATAATGTGAAGGTTGTTTTCGACTCTTACAGATTAGCCCTGAGACAGCCCAATAAAAAAAACTCTTGGGATAATAGGAAGTAATAAATTAGATAACTGGGGGAAATAGGATCATGAACAATTCTAACTGGACAGATTAATGAGTGTAAAGTTTTCAGGTCTCTGGTGTTCAAAGTTTGAAAAGTGTCTTGGCAAGACATTCAAATAAAGTCTGGAATTTGAAAAATAAAGCAAGCTGGAAAGGAGAGGCAGGATGTTTGGGGAACAGTTCAAAGCAGTCAACTGGGATTTGGGTGATGAACTGTAAATGGCATTTAATGCACATGCTAAATGTAATAATAAAGCAACCAATTAGCAATTGAAAAGGTACGTTTTTAAATCTGAAGCGTTAGAAAAAGATCTAAGTGTGATATCTGTAGTTGATCAAAGAATTGTCATGCTATAGTATCTAGCTACTTAAATATCCCTGAGGGCACGCATCAAATATGATGTAAACAAGATCTTAGAAAGAGCAAAGGTACCAATTATTTGAGCTATAAAGAGGATATACAAAATATAATTTACAACCCTTGGAAAAAGAATTAAAAAGATGATACAATTCAGGTTTCTGAAATAATGGAGAATTAATTAAGTGGTTGCAGAGATATAAAAACAGGACAGGGGATATTGTAAGCAAAGCTGCTAGAACTAACCTAAAAAAAACTACAGTTGAAGAGTTTTAGAAGATTGCCGCATAGTGCAATACATGTGGACTCACTGAGGGTAATTAAAATTGAACTGATCCAATTTCTAATTCAGCAGGAAGTACAGCGATGTGGTTTGGGGCAGGAAAATGAAACAAAATGGCCAGATAAAGGTCCTAAAACCAAACCACATGACATTGAGTTGAATAAGTGCTGTAGTTTGGTGGTTAGCGCACTCGCCTCGCAAGCGAGAGGACCTGGATTTGATTTCTTAGGCAAGTTTCTTTACTCCACATGCCTCTGTTTACCCAGCAGCAAGTAGGAATCTGATTGTTAGTTGATTGAGGAATCGCTTTTCCGGGGGTAATAATCCCTTCAAAAAACAAATAAATAAAATAATTTGGTCACTCAATCCATGACTGTTTGTGGGACCCTGTTGTGCACAATAGTCTGCCGCGATTCACCCACAAAATATACAGTCAATTCACTTTACAGTATATTCTGTGAAGCACTTTGAGACGTCTAGAAGATGTGTTAAGGTGTTATATCAAATGCAAGGATAAATATATTAGTATTATTATAAGCTTACCTCATTCTTGCCTAGTTATTTCCCCCCAATTGGGTAATTGGGCTGTTCCTGTGAATTATAAACTAAATAAGGAAGAATTGTCTTGACTGAATGAAACAGAAGCAGCATTAAAGTCTATATTTGGATTTTAGTATTTTTGACCTGTTCAAGATTGCAGTGAATAACAACAACAAAATTACATTTATAAAGCGCCTTTCACATCGGGAGGACGTCCCAAGGCGCTGGACAGTCAGGGGCCAGGAATCGAGCATGGGGGAGGGGCTGGGTAGGGGTGAGGATAGGCAGAGAGGTGGGAGGGCGACTGAAGGCACGATCGAAGAGGAGGGTCTTGAGACCGGCCTTGAAGGAGGCAAGGGAGGAAGCGAGGTAAAGGGCCTGTGGGATGGAGTTCCAGAGTGAGGGGCAGAGAGGCTGAAAGCCCGGCCACCGATGGTAGGGCGGGTCGGGCGGGAGACATGGAGCAGGCCGGAGCCCGCTGAACGGAGGGAGCGGGCAGGTTGGTAGGGAGTCAGCAGGTCAGAGAGGTAGGAGGGGGCAAGGTCATGGATGGCCTTGAAAGTGAGGACGAGGATCTTGAACTCGATCCTCTGGGGGTTGGGGAGCCAGTGGAGTCGGGCGAGGGTGGGAGTGATGGAGTCGCGGAGCCTGGTGCGTGAGAGTGCACGAGCTGCAGAGTTTTGGATGATCTGCAGCTTGTGAAGGGAAGAGTTGGGAAGGCCGATGAGGAGGGAGTTCCCATAATCAAGCCTTGAGGTGACAAATGTATGGGTGAGGGTTTCGGCAGCCTGAGGGGTGAGGCAGTGGCGGAGTCCGGCAATGTTGCGGAGGTGGTGGTAGGCTGTGCCGGTCATGGCGGGGATGTGGGGGAGAAACGACAGTTCAGGGTCAAATAAGATACCCAGGTTCCCGACTGGCTTAGTGAGGTTGAGTGTGCAGCCGTGGAGGCTGATGCTGTCAGCGCCTGAGGTGAAAGTCACAAATTCACTTGACTATCTTAAGTTCAGTCACTGAACCTCCACTTGGTCTCGTACGAGTAATGAAAGAAAATCTCAAGAACCCCAAAACAGCATTCAAGATGCAAATAATTAAACAGTGCTACGGACCCATTATTGCAATTTAAGGAAAGATGCAAGCCAGTAAGCCATTAAATCACATGGATTTCCAGTATTTACAACTGAAAATAACTACTGCTACTAAAATTCACTTAGCAACTTACTCTATGACTTTCAGATTTTACAACAGCAAAATCTATTCAATCTGTTCAATATATACAAGAATATTAGGAATCTAAGTGAGCAGCACATCTGCATAGGCAGAAATGCCTCTCATTTAGAATATCTGTTATGATCCTTTGACCTGTAGCACTGAAATTGTGCTTATGAATCTTTAATGAAAGAAATAATGAGCCTTATGCCTAGTGAAGACATTTCATCCTCCTATTTCCAGTACCAAGCTTTTGGAAAAAATCTATTTTTGCGACGGGAATAGATTAAAGAAATTACATATGAACATTACAACCTCTCTGCACTCGTATTTAGTCCAGTTCTCTATGGTAGCACATACAAAACTCACTGCTGAATCTCTCATGATATAGTTTCTTCCTAATACAGCCAAAAGTAGCTTTCTTTTAATCTTGAAGAAATTGTATTTCTTTTTCTGTATCCCCACTCCCTAGAAAATATATTCAATTGAATTCCTGAGGACTGCTGCTAATTAATCCAGCAGAAGGTTATCATTATAATGAAAATAATTCAGTGCATGTTTGGTGTGGGATTCATTAACCCACCAAAACTGGATGGACAGATTGGAGATTTTCAAACTAGAAATGAGACAATCGAGAGGGGACCTGATAA